TGGGTGCTGAGATATCTTTAAAACCCCTCTCTTTTACAATGTAAATTTCTTTGCAATTGTTTGAAAAGAAATTTACATAGTAAAAGAGAGGGTTTTTAAAGATATCTCAGAACCCACCGGGCCGATTTTGATGTTCTAACTACCATTAGATGCGTTTTGACAAGCTTTACAAAAGTCTCTTAAGCAAGAAAAATGATTAGCTTAGTATGAAAAAAGTTTACCTTGGGCGATCGCTATATTTGCACTATAGTAAATTTATAGTAATCTGAGTCATTCTTCAGGTGACTGGTGGATCATCAATTAATGAACAATTATTCCAATTATTCATAATGGACATAATTCTTCTCTTTTTTTCAATTAAATTTAATTTTTGCTTGAGACAGGACTCACCATGGTAAATACAATTAATTTGATCTTTAACAACCTGCTGTTCTTTCTGCATTTTCTTAATTACAAAATAGAAACCAATATAAAAACTACCAACTAATATTGCCCAACAATTGTGCTATCCTTCGACAGCATTTTGAGTTCTAGGAATACCTAGACCCAAAGACTCATATACTGACTATAATTCAGATGAGAAGAGAGGTGAGTATAAATCTTCTGACCACTTCTCAATTCCTGTTTAACTATACCAAGAACATATGTCTCCTCCAACCATAAGACCAAATTCTTTGCCTCTTCAGATATTTCTGGCTTTAATATATTAAACGCACTTAGAATTTTCTGAGGAGATAGAAATGCTAAAGCAAGTAGATATTTTATTTTAAGACTGAACCATGCATCAGTTCCTTATAAACCTGCATTGCATTATATAATAATTAGTCAGATTATTAAAATTTCTTAATTAGGGTATTAAACACAGATATGTATTTGTAAATCATATACGTATAAAACTAATTTTTTTTCAAATTAATTTTATAAACAAAAAATTTTTCTTACTTGCTAATCCATAACATTGTATTCTTTTCCATGCATTCTGTTCTAGATAAAAAAAGTATGTTTTATTAGTGACTCCAAGGAAAGCATATTGTGATGCATTAATCTCTGCTAACTCAAAATCAGTAATGATCTTTGGAGAATTTAAATTAATTTCATTCTCAACTGCAAAGTCAACTAAACTTTCAAATAACCAGTCATACTGTTCCTCAGATTTATATGATATTAATGAATAAACAAGGGAAGAATTCAAGAATTATCTGTAGCACTGACAGGTGCGTATAGTGTTTCTATGAATCTGACTTGAAACTGAACTTTGGTCAAATTCAGGTTCATGTTCAGTTCAATCATGTTCAATATTGAACTTTTAAGTGAGGTTCATGTTCAGTTCAGTTCAGTATTGAACTTTTAACATATTTGCAGATTTGATGCATATGATGATTATTTGAAATATGATATATCCTATTATTACCAGCATTATAAAAAAAAATAATAATTTTGGCCCATAATCAGCATAATTCAGCCCAGTTTCACGTTTATTTCCTTTTTTAAATCAGTCTGCAATCGGACTGTATTTCCAAAATAGGAAATTAAAATAAGAACCTAATTAGGTAAAATTCATAATAATCACAAAATTAATGTGCAATTCAGAAATATCACACTAATGAATATGCATCAGCAAATTTAATAGGACGTAATATTGCGCAATAATTTACGAAGCGTAAGAAAACCGTAATATTACATAATAACTTTCGCAATATTGCGAAATA